AGAGGCGATATGTAACAATTCACACAGCCAATTCTGAGTGTCATAATACTACCATTTCCTGTTTGCTGAACTTTTCAGAAATGTAGAAACAACTGTTGTATTTCAGAACTCGAATGCACTATAAAATTGTCTACAGTTTTTGGGACCACTCGTGTAGGTCGACCATGTTAAATAAGAAAGAGTACCGACACGACATGCTTACAATTAAAATACAATTGGTAGTAAGTAGATAAACACAATAATTATGTGATAGGCATAAGTCATAGAAAAACAATACAAATAGTGCTTGTTTAATTAAAGTTGAAAGAAATGGTGTGCTATCGCTCTGTCTATTACAGTATTATACATATAATAATAATAATTGAAGCATACAGCATGCCTATTATTTCTGTCATAAAGTAATCAAAATAAAAATTCATACCGTACAATTTATTAATTATTGCCAAAAAACCAAACAAGATATGTTAGGTTAAGTTATTCAATAAATTGCATTTTATCCATAGTTAGCAACATGATGTATACATAGCATAGCATAGAATATTATTACAAGTGCATAGCCAATTATATCTGTATACACTATACTATTCTTAGTACCGCCAAAGCAAGTAACATACCGTAAAACCTCTAATAGAAGTCATGGGCTTCTCTTTTTAAGACGCTTGGATGGGCTTCTTCTCGAGATGGGCTTTTTTTCGAGATTATATTTGCAAACCAAAAAAAAGGGGCTTCTTCTTGGGAATTGCTACTATACGACAATTCTTAACTATGGAATTCGAAATTATTTATTTTAACCATGCTACAGTAGTACAATAAAATACTATTGATACTGACACGCTATCATAATCATCAAATATAACGCAAGTTTTAATGTAAGTTCTCGAGAGAAGCCCAATGGGCTTCTTTTCGAGATTACTTTTGCAAACTGAAGAGGGCAGCTTCTTTTCAAGATTGGCTCCTTCTCGAGCTTCTATTCGAGGTTTGTTTGGTATATCTCTTCGTTTTATATTGGAATGGAAATATATGAAGGGAAGTGCATAGCAACTAACGCACCTACAATAACCTATCAAAGCTGCAAGGTTAACCACAATTTAGTAAAGGCATATAATATGGTCTCAACCACATCCTGTCAAAAACGATAAATATAGCTTTGGTATACTGTACATAGTAAATATTTGTACATAGGTTTATGCTCGTTAACAATAACTTATAAAATCTTATGCTATAAGGTTTAAGTAATACAAAGCTAATGCAATAACACTGTAAATGGGCAAATTCAGTATTTTTCATCAAGACAAGTACAAGGTTTCAGATAATAATGTCACATACACTGGATCAGCAAGATAGTGAAAATTAGTGAAATTCGTAGTGATTCTATTTCACTCTACTAGAGTAATCACAGGGACTCTCTCACCCTTTTTAGACACTTGCATTTATTCGGTATGTTTGATCATAATCAATGTTAAACAAATTGGTAAATTTATTATATATAAATATAATTAAGTATATAATGTACTGTACTGTAATATGTGGGAAAAACTTGAAAATTCATTCAATTATAACACAGAAAGTAATGACAGCAAGGATATTGCAAAAAGCAGCACAGTTTTAACTAGGTAACTAACAAGGAATATCTTAATACAGTTTTATTGCCAGGATCCACAGGATTTAAAAAAAATTTGTTGTACAAATATTTGAAGGGTTTTTCTTCACTTATTGTATGTCTTGGAGTATATATTTGTACATTTAAAAAAAATGTTTCCTCCACAGCCTGGCTTTAATAATCAAAAGGTGAAAGACTTGAGTGTAATTCAGTGTGTGTTATTTTACCAAGCCACTACCCTATATAAATAGGCCTACATGAATAATAATATTATATAATACTACCGGTATATATATATATATATATTACGTGTGTATGATATTCCTGTGTCATATACCAAAACATTGAAATCAAATCCTATATACTTTCAGTGTAAATTAACTGCATTATATCTAAATGTTCAGTCCTATATACAGTGACATAGTTGCCTGGCCAAAAAAAAAAAAAATTAAATTTGTGCCCCTGACCATGACAATTTTCATGATAAAGTGCTTCCAGTACAAACTGTTATCTCTACACAGTATGGTGATCGCAGAGGCAAAGATTTCTTTTTATTGTAATTTTCATAAAATTCTTTCGAGAAAAGCGCAATGTCTAAGACAGCAGTCCCATGTTCTTTCCAGCCCTGATAGTTGCGAATTAATGAGTTTGTCTAATAAACAGTCTAATAAACAAAGAAAGTATAATTAATATTTTCACTACTGCATAATTTTTTCCTACCTTTTTTGTGGACATTGAATTGATGTGCAATATTCACATGGAACACATGGAATGACAACATTTAGTATTAAACTACAACGCACAACAAAACAGTTCAAAAGAATTCTCCAAGTCACACATAGAGAGCAGTCTTGCAATAATTATTCAAATCAAGGTATTGTCATTTTACTTTTCAAGTAAAGAAGTCATATAAAACTCTTTGTCGTAAAACATTAAATCACAAATCAGAAACAAAAACTGAATTTCTTTCAAATGAAAATGTATACATAAGCTGGAAAATCAGAAAGGAATGCTGGGACAAAAAATCAATATAAGTAATAATAATCTACACAAGAAACAAATAATATGAATGTGAGAACTAAAATAAATAACAATTTAAAACCAACAACAATAAAAAGACATCACTGTAGTAAAAATCAATAATTTATAATCATACAGCTTTATAAATAATTTATAGTTACACTTGAAAGGCACAATGCTGGAAAAGTTATTATAATAATAAAGGTCAATAATATTTAGGTTATAACAGCTCTAATAACTATAACAGTTAATCATTAATGTAAAGTATAATTAAATATCAAAATTGAATAAATTGAAAAGCACTACATGTATGTATGTGTGTGTATGTTACTGTACCAGCATAGGTGTATAAAGCAAAACCTAACCAGTAAACTGCATAGACCTGGCCTGGGATTTATCAATCTCAGCTTAGCAAATGTCTTAAGTCAAGAAAAAGTTAAGATGTCCCTAATATCTTAAGCTGATTTATTACCCAATCTTAGCAAAATCTTGGCTTAAAAATCGTCTTATATGGTGCCAACGTACAATCGACTTTCTAATTTAAAGCAATTTTTAAGCTAAGCAATATGGATAAATTTGACTTAAGCAAAAAAATGGACTTAAGATGAATTTAGGCTGATTTCTAGTTTGATAATCAAACCCTGACTCAAAACTCAATGAAAACATTTGGAACAATATCATACATAATGCATTCCAGAAAGTGGATGACTATTACAGTATCAAAATGGTTGCCATAAATAAAACATGGCTGATTCATTCAAAATAAAAAATACACGGTTTCAAACATTCTAAAATTATTAAATGTTGAAAAAAAAAATTCATGTGACTTACTATAATTAAAGCTTCTAAAGCCAAGCATACACTTATCAGATGTTTGTCTGTCAGACTAAACATACAATGTCTGATTAGACTGTCCAACAGCCATGGAGAGACATAAAACCTTCTGATAAAACTTTGAAGTAGATTTTCAGACTTCTAACAGCCATAGGCAAACATAAAACTTTGAAGAAGCAGAACACTGTTAGAATGCCAACAGTCACAGACAAACAGAAAATGGTTGGTCAGACTTTGATGAAGACAGAGCATTGCCAGACTTCTACAGCAACACACAGATTTAAAAAAAATAATAAAACTCTATCCAGACATGTCAAATTGAATTTGACAAAAAAATGCCAATATGTAGACATGATGTGCCCATATATAGTCATGATGTGCCTATATATCGTCATGATGTAATGTCATCATGACCATATTTATGCATGTCACATGTTTTTGTCAAATAAAATTTGATAGCCTAGACAGGACTTCCATGGACAAACAGCTTATTTGTTTGATCAGATTTTGATGAAGCAGAGCACTGTTAGCATTCAATATAGACAGACAGAATAAGTTAGATAACACTGAAGTGGAGCACTGCTATACTGTACTTCAAACAGCCACTGACAGACAGACAATGATCATGTACATGGAGTAAAACATGTCTGAAAAACAAACAGAACATCGTCAGACTAAAGTATATCACTGTCCACAAGACATGTCTAAAGCTTTCATCAGACTTTTGTGAAGTAGAGCTAGCTCAACTGCCAACAGCCACGGACAGGCAATCTGTTTGAGACCTTTTTTGAAGAACGGCACCTACATCTACATATGATATTTAACAAAGTCCAATGCTTGATGTAACTATGAAGAAACTTTATGTGACTCACAGACAACAATTTGACAGAGTATATGCCCTGTCTCTTATACACATCTAGATGTGTATAAGAGACAGCTACACAGTATGGTGATCGCAGAAATTCTGCAATGGCTGTTGAATCATCAATAGTCCAACGTCACATATCTCTCAGAGAAAGTGGTGTCAAGCACCTTCACAAAACAACCCCACAAGTTTACTTCACTGTGAGAAGTATGGTAGGACATGTATGCACAGAATTGGTCTCCACTCCCATATGAAACACTGCCGGCATTAAGATACATCATACTCAGTTTGAGTGATAGCTATTATTATTATCCCATCACATATCATGATTCTCTGACCAGCTGCTAGATTGTCTTAAACACATCAAATGCTTGGCTCTATTATTAATGCATTAACATATTATAATACATAGATTTGTTAGTGTGTACAAGTATAATGCATAAAGACTTCAGTATAAGTGCTATGACATCCCACATTTTAAATTATGTATAACTGTAATATTGAAATATTTCGTCCAATTCATACATCAATTATAATAATCAACGTTGTCTATTACAAATAAAGAGGAAATTGACTTTTGATACACAACTTGGGAAGTAATACATATCAAAACTTAAGATTGCCCCTTAACATTATATTGATTTGGATAAGAAAATTACTTATAAAAAGACATATTTTTAAATTATACAATTGTTGGTTATCGTATAGGTGCTGTGAGATCAATTTCAACCAGGTTCCATGTTTGGTGTAGCGATCCATCGCAATTGTTCAAGGTAGGAGCGTCTTTACCTGGCGGTGCTTTATCAAGGCATAGAGAAGTAGGACGATGCACAATCTCTTTAGTCTGTAAATAAATAATTTAAAAAAAAGGGGTGTTATTATAAATGGAAATTATCAATTTCTGCATGTGACTTTGAAAAAAAAAAAAGAATGAAACAAAAATGAAACAATACAAATAGTTGAACCCAGACAAACAAACAAATAAAAATTCTATTTAAATTACCATAACAAACAAGTCCCTCTTGCATCAAACAGAATATTTAATCAGGGACGTATACAAGGGGGGGGGGGGAGGAAGCCGTGGGAGCCGCGGTTTCCCCCTTTAAACACAGTGTTAAAATTTTAAAGCTTGTTCTTGCTAGATACAAATTCTTTCCAAGGATCACTCAAAATAAATATTTCTAATTTATGTAAATATGCATCAGCACACATTATACCTGTACATATGCCTACTATAACAACATCTAGGCTTAAGCATGATTTTTAAAAATCTTAAATCCATAAGTCCCAGGCCAAGTCTTTCAGATACAGAAATGTTTTACAAGCTCTATAAAGTTTTGTTTTAATACTACAGTACTACTAGTAGTAATAATAATAATAATTATGATGATGACAATAATGATGATGACGATGGTGATAATAGATAATAATATTAATAATATTAAAAAGTGAAGAAAATTGTGCTAAAGGCGAAAACTACTGTAAGTTGTGATTTGTTGATCACAATTATTATAGTATAGTTAAAGCTTAGTAAGCTATAGTTTAGGCCTAAGTTGTCTTGGATATTCAAGTAGATCTCTGATAAAAGATTATGAGAAATTTGTTTTTATTTTGACTATATAATGGTGATGTGGTGATGATGATGAAATTTACTATATAAAAGTGTCATTTCTGGCCATCTAGAGATACTATTTCCTAAAATTTGGCGCTGAGGTGGGTTGTTCCTCAATTTGTAAAAGTCCCTCCCTGGTTCACCTCTCTGTTGAATTCCTGGATCCACCACTGTTGAGTTTTATATAATTATTGTTAGGCTTACTAATATTATTTATAATACGTTTATTGCAATTTTCACTTTATCATCTCAGAACAGCCCTAAAAACATTCAGAGTGGGCTACTTTCCAGGGGCTTCTCCCCTGGACCCCCACAGGGTCCTACATACCTCGCATAATGGCTCACCCCCCCCCCTTTCAAAATCCTGGCTACGTCCTTGTAAATAATAGCTTATCAAACTTGGAGAATGTGCTAAAAACGGAATTGAAAACCAAAGCCTGGCAAAAGTCTATTTTATTATAAAAAGAAAAACAAATAAGTAAATTTAACTGATGTATTTCAGGAAGTGCAGTTATTCTATTCATTAGGGGAATGCCATGACCATGCTTTGCACCTTTAGTTTTCAGCCATGGTATCATATATTTTTAAATATTTATTTAGGCACACAACAAATGCACCAAGAATTGTCAATAGCGAATATATCACTGTCCTACTTGTGGGTGACTTCACCTTTCACAAGACAATACACACACAATGCTTTACACAAAATAAATCTCAATACAAGCTTTAGAGAGTGGAGTTGTTTTGGTCATGAGAAAAAAAATCCTGAAACACTGACAGGAATTGAACACAGCACGGTGGGATTGGCAGGCAAGCATCCTAACCACCAAGCAATATTTCCGTTCCTGCATGTTACCAAAGAATATGCAAGAGGTCCAACTGCCATGATTTTGTATGCACGCAATGAAACTCTAAATAAGTATTACCACAGGATGGGGGCACCCTTTTATGTACACTTTTTACATTATTTTGAAGGACGCCCTTTACTTCATGATAGTTTTTTTTTGAGAGGAATTGCGTTCCAACGAAACCCAGAGAGTTGGACATCTTGCAGTACTACACTCTGTGATGTTACGCTGTGCTGCATTTTCAGCAATGAAAAATGATGATTTTGTTACATCCCATGCGTACTTACATCATCCTTGTATAGCCACTCTTGATTCCCACGTTTACCATGACATTTAAACAGAATAATATCTTTGTAATTGGAATCCTTTGATGAGTCTATACACAAATCATCATGTTTCAATTCATTCATATGGCTAAGTGCAAATATCTATGGTGAGAAAAAAAATGTGTTACGAAGCTGATAAAAAAAAAAAATTTCATGTTCAAAAAGCAAATTTGTTATTGACTGTACAGGTGAGTGAGCACATTCTCCCCATCTCTGTTTTTGTTTCTTCTGTTCCCTTGTATGGCCTGTGATGAAGACCAGTCACTGATGCATGGGCCCAATTAATGCTCACCCCTAGTGAGTGGTTTTGTGGGGGGGGGGGGTGGATAATCACACTTCTAGTGATCCAAAATATTTCAATTGAGAGGGAATTATTAAGCATATATTTAGTAGGCCCCTGAGAAACACTGAGAAGTACTGTAATAAGTATCCTACAAATATGGTACTGTTTATGAAGAAAGGAAAATCATTTAAGAAGGAAAAACTGTAATACAGGAATTTATATAAGGTAAAGAGACATAGTGGAGGAAAAACAATAAGAAAAAAATATATGAAAAAAAGTTATTTGAAAAAACAAGAGGTATGATGAAAGAAAAATTATGAGAAGATTCAGAAGTACAAGAGAAATGATAAAAAGAAAGACACGTGATACGTA